GTGTACCCTAACTCCACAGGGATAGATGCCCCTCTACTGAGGATATTTCAGGACCTTACTCTGTGTATGTCTTCATATGGCTGTTATTTGTATTCTTAAAAATAACTTTCATGGCTCGGCGCCTGTGGCTCAAGCGGCTAAGGCGCCAGCCACATATACCTAGGTGGCGGGATCGAATCCCCAGCCCGGGCCCGCCAAACAACAATGATGGCTGCAACCAAAAAATGGCCAGGCGTTGTGGCGGGAGCCTGTAGTCCCAGCTACTTGGGAGGCTGAGGCAGGAGACTCGCTTGAGCCCAGGAGTTGGAGGTTGCTGTGAGCATGTAATGCCATGGCACTCTACCCAGGGGGATGGCTTGAGGCTCTGTCTCAAAAAAAAAACAAAACAAAAACTTGCATAATAAATCAATAAATATATTTCCTTGAGTACACTGAGCTGCTTTAGCAAATTAATTGAACCCAGAAAAGGGGTTGTTGGAACCCCAACTCTAAACTGGTTTGGTGGGGGCCTGGACTTGCAACTTGCATCTTTGTATGGTACAAGACAGACTGGGATTGAGACCTCAACCTGTGATAGCTAATGCTATCTCCAGTTAGATAGTGTAGGGACCAAGAAAAAACTTCGCTTTCATTCTCTGAAGTTTCACTGAAAAATCAGTCCACAAAAGGAGGTTAGTAGGAGAAGTGGCATACAAATTTACTGATGTTCATATAGGGGAGAGCCTCGAAATGATTACTCATAGCCTCCAGAACAATTCAGAAGGTTATATAACATATTGAGGTTATAGAAAGAATGGGCACTTGGATCTTGGCGAAACAGGTTTATGGTGGCATATTAGGTTATGAGAGGAGGAGAAGAGGCCTGGCTAGGAAAAGTGGTTTTGTTATATAGGGGTTTTTTTTGTTTGTTTGTTTTTTGAGACAGAGCCTCAAGCTGTCACCCTGGGTGGAGTGCTGTGGCATCACAGCTCACAGCAACCTCCAACTCGTGGGCTCAAGCGAGTCTTCTGCCTCTGCCTCCCAAGTAGCTGGGACTACCGGCACCTGCCACAACGCCTGGCTATTTTTTGGTTGCAGCTGTCGTTGTTTGGCGGGCCCGTGCTGGATTCGAACCCGCCAGCTCAGGTGTATGTGGCTGGTGCCTTAGCCACTTGAACCACAGGTGCCGAGCCTGTTATATAGGTTTAAACTTCACAGGTAGCAGCCTTTCTAGATAGTGAATGTTTCTTTAAGATCTTTAAAGGATCAAACTCCCAGTTAATCTTTTCTAGATGGGGCCTCAGAAAACCTATCTGTATCAATGAAGATTTTTTTCTATAGATGCAAATTTCCCCCACAAAAGGATACCTTCTGTTTTTTCAACAGCTACCTCCAAAATACTTTGGGGTGAAATATTTTTATTTCCTTCCATAGTGTTGGAATTGAATTAGAGGCTACCAGCTGGTGTCCACTGCAAGAACTAATTAATTGGTAATGGATAGAAATCCTCCACATTTGGTCATAGAATTTTTCTATGTATATTGTTGGGTAAGAGAATAGAAAAAAAAGTTTGGCCAGGTGTGGTACTCTGGGAGGCCAACGTAGAAGGATTACTTCAAGCTCAGGAGTTCAAGACCAGCCTGAGCAAGAGGGAGACCCTGTCTCTACTAAAATTAGAAAAATTAGCTGGGTGTTGTGGTGGGTGCCTGTGGTCCCAGCTAGTCCTGAGGCTAAAGCAGGAAGATGTCTTTAACCCAGGAGTCTGAGGTTCCTGTGCTCTAGGCTGACTCATGGCACTCTAACCTAGGGAAAAAAGTGAAATTCTGTCAAAAAAACCAAAACAGAAACAAAAAGTTTGCTTTTTCCAGGCTGATTTACCTTTGGGTTCTTCAAAGATTCTCTCATTCTTCTTTGTGCAGCCTAGTATTGAATGCAAAATGCCAGCCACAATATCCAGCTATGTTTTTGTTGCATTTTGGCAGGGCCCATGTTTGAACCTGCTACCCTCGGTATATGGGGCTGGCACCTTACCCACTGAGCCACAGGTACCACCTGGCCCTGGTTTTTTTTTTTTTTCTTGAGACAGATCCTCAAGCTGCCACCCTGGGTAGAGTGCAGTGGCATCACAGCTCACAGCAACCTCCAGCTCCTGGGCTTAAAGCGATTCTCTTCCTCAGCCTCCCAAGTAGCTGGGACTACAGGTGCCCTCTACAAGGCCCGGCCATTTTTTGGTTGTAGTTGTCATTGCTGTTCGGCAGTTCTGGGCTGGATTCGAACCTGTCAGCTCTGGTGTATGTGGCTGGTGCCTTAGCTGCTTGAGCTATAGGCACCGGGCGGCCCAGTTTTTCTTGAGTGAATTTGGTTCATTGCCTCATTTATTTAAAAAAATTAACTAAGTCTATGTAAGCTTGAAAAAAAAAGGAAAAAATCAACTAAAAATCAAATAATACTAAAGTATAGTTATTTTAATTTTACTAACTATAAAACTGAATGAAATAACTTCCCTTTCCAATTACTGAATTTGTCCTGCTTTTGTGGTTTTCAGATTATTTTCCATTTTGAAAAGTTATTGTGATTTGTGATTTCCAAGATAGTTTTTATAAATAAATAGGATACTTCCAGGATTAGGGTATCTGGAGAGTAGTTTTCATTATAAGTTTGCTATCCTGAGGAACTTGAGACTTTTATTCATACCACATGTTCTACCACTAATTTTTTTTTTTTTTTTTTTTTTTTTGAGACAGAGCCTCAAGCTGTCCCCCTGGGTAG